CAGTCACAGTTACCTGTACTGCCCTGAAGTGATATGTACCGAGTGCCACACTCAAGGTCACCGTCACTATGTTTGTCCGAAGATAAGGCAGTCAAGATAAGAAGAAGACTCCCCAGGGCCCATGTTACAACTGTCAAGTAGTGGGTCATTTCGCTGCAGATTGCCCAGAACCCAGTCGAAAGAAAACGTCAGCATCACACAACTCCGTACGGGCATCACACCATGTCTAGGGAAAAGAAAACAGGACAGAAGCCCCTCAAGAAAACACTCTTCAAAGCGCCGACGACGCATTCAGTCTGAGGAGGAGATGGAGGTAGAGGATGAAGAAGATAGATCATCTGAGCAAAGTGACTAACGCATGGGACATGCTGCTCCACTGTTTTTTCCAGTTTCCAATCGTTTCCAGTTTTTCCAGTGTTCCTACCGTTTCCTGTCGTTTCCAGTTTCCAATTTGTTTTCCAACAGCCCTTTTCAGGGCCACCCATCTCTCCCGAAAGAACGCTTTTCATCCTCATGCTTTGACGACCCTCAAACCCAAACAAAGAACCGACCACCACCACCACCCACCCACCTCCCACCCAACACCATCTCCCTCCACCACCACCACCACCTCTTCAATTTTTAGAAAGAAAAAAACGGTACATCCAGGATTTTATACGCGCTTCTTTCAATGTCGATCTTTTTCACTCTGTACGAGCGCTTCTTTGGGTTTTACCCCCTCCTCCCCGGAAACGGATGTGCCGCCCTTTTGGAGGTGCGCATGCCACCGAAACGGATATGCCGCCATCTTGGATGAACACGCTGCCGGAAACGGATGTGCCGCCATCTTGGATGCGCACGCATGACTCAACCCAGAGGTCACGTGACCCAACCGACCAATCACAAGCCAGGAGCGGTTCTAGGGTGGGGCCGTGCCAATTTACACTTTTCAGAGGGGTACACAAAGTACGTGATCAAGACTACCAGTTTTCAGACTTTAGTTTTGTGGAGGCCTGGGTGGCTGAGCGGGTAAGATCGCTGACTTAGTGTGCTGGAGATTAGGTGCCTCACTCTGTCAGTGTGGGTTCGAATCCCGGACGGGGCATACACCAATAAAGTATGAGAATCTGTACTTAACTGAGAAAGTGTTATCCCAGATATAACATTTGAGAATATTTTTATTTTGAAACTGAAACCACGTGTATCCATTAAACAACCACAGCATTAGATCGGCTGTTTGACGTGACGTCAACCACGTCACAATACGCGAGGTCAAATTCACAGAGGAGATTCATCATGTGTATTTGATGATATATATACACACACAATTGGTTATCAATTATCTTGTACAATCATAGCATGTACCATGCACATTAGACTCACTAAAATACTATTTCAGCAAACCAATCATAGCGCCATCATCATTGAAACGAAAAACAATTCGAAATCAAACTTTACAGCTCATTTATCCGTAAGCGGTTAACCCACATGCGAAAATGTATTGTTGTCACAAGACTCGAAGGCATTTCATATGAAAAAAAGCAGCAGTTATTTTTCGAAACGGGAGAGCATGTAGGACAACTGGAAAACAAGAAATCGCATGTCCTGTCGATCACTTCGGGCTTGGCCATTCAATGTTTACGTTTAGGTCATGAGCTTTCTACCCATAAATACACACAATGTCACCTTAATATTAACGACCAAAGTTATCGTTTCATATCTTCCATATCTTAGACTTTCTGAAAATCACCATAAACTGAAAGACAATCGGCACTGTCGTTTCGTTGCGACACACAGTTCTAGTCGATACAATATGCAGGACTTGAACAAAAAGCTTCCGTTACGGACTAAACGTTACAGTAGGGAAAGGTAACTCTTTCTGGCCAGTCTGATACATTTTATTTTCAAATTGGCTGTCTGATAGTATAATAGCTTCGTGGATGTGACATGGGCGCATAATAAATCATTTGCCGCCATTCGCATGAAGTTCAACATGGCAGAAAAAAGGTCGAGAAGCGAGGTAACCACTTTACTAATCTCACCATATTGTGTAATCCATAGCACTATACAAAATATGAGTTACACGATGTTATAAATGAGATAATTCGGTTGATGATGGTTATATTTTTGTTTTTGTACATAGATCCTACCAGAATGGCCCGAAAACAACCGCCTTCTGGCACTGGCATCTAGGTAACTTTTGAATTTAACAAGTATATTGAAAAAAAGAGAGATGCAAATGTATATTCAAAGAATTCAGACATAAATATAAACGTCCAAGCCAAATAGTGATGGCGCAAGAAAAGTAAGGTGCTCTGGGTTTTGGCATGACCGGTCGATTGATATTACCGGGCGCTTCCTACCACCTCTCCAGGCGAAGTAAGGGTCGAAGTCGTGTATTAAGCAAAGGAACGCTACTCCTAGGACCGGTGTCCTCGACCACCAGACTTCCGTCCTCCGCCGCCACAGGGACGCAACCATGGCAAACAGGTGGCCCAATTTTGTCGGCTCTTACCACCAGCAATAGTGAGTGAGTGAGTCTTGTTTAACGCCGCTTTCAACAGTATTCCAGTTATTTCACAGCGTGTCATCTTAATGTAGGAGGAAAGCTCGAATTGTTGCAGGTCTTAGACGTTTAGAACTTTGATGAAACCTACGAAGACGAGAGAAACATTTTCGGGGAGAGCCGGGATTCGAACACATAGGTTTCTGGCGTGGTTTCTGACGCGACTCTGCACAGCGAATTGCGGGACCCGATCAGCAATAAGGTGGTGGGAACAAATCCTTGGTCCCAACGGCGTGCGTGCGTGCGTGCGTGCGTGCGTGCGTGCGTGCGTGCGTGCGTGAGTAAATGAGTAAAAATAATTATAATAAAAATAATACGCAAATAAATACGTAAATACTAAATAAATACGTAAATGAGTAAGTAAATAAGTAAGTAAATGTCTTGACAGTTAGGTTAAGCTCCAGTGCTCTGAATGCCATTGCATGGGAATCCTCACTGGGGGCTCCCTCTTTGTAGCGGTATTACAGTACAACAGACATCTTTGGGGCAAGCTCTGTTTTATTTCGTCAGCGGCGAATAGCAGTGTAATAACGTTTTGTGGAACAAGTTTTGTGGAACTGTTGCTGCTGCAGAAAATATGTATTAAATACATCCGTTTACATTAAATACGTCATTACATTTGTTCAAAACAAGTTCTTCGCAGTTTTTGCATCTTATCTATTATACAATAATGTTAAACATATCCATGCTGCTTGCATATTTAACCTAAAATGAATGAAATAAAATACAATTGGAACATTGACATTGTACACCATGACCACTAATGCATTTAAACAAACTCTCCAATATATTAGTCATCATTCTCATAATAAATCCTTTTTACTCAATATTATCAATCAATATTCACCATGAAAAAAGTATTAATGCATCATTTACAGAGTTTAAAATAAATAACCCCATTAAAACTAAGCTAGGTGTCGGCGAATAGCAGTGTAATAACGTTTTGTGGAACAAGTTTTGTGGAACTGTTGCTGCTGCAGAAAATATGTATTAAATACATCCGTTTACATTAAATACGTCATTACATTTGTTCAAAACAAGTTCTTCGCAGTTATTGCATCTTAGCTATTATACAATAATGTTAAACATATCCATGCTGCTTGCATATTTAACCTAAAATGAATGAAATAAAATACAATTGGAACATTGACATTGTACACCATGGCCACTAATGCATTTAAACAAACTCTCCAATATATTAGTCATCATTCTCATAATAAATCCTTTTTACTCAATATCATCAATCAATATTCACCATGAAAAAAGTATTAATGCATCATTTACAGAGTTTAAAATAAATTACCCCATTAAAACTAAGCTAGGTGTCGGCGAATAGCAGTGTAATAACGTTTTGTGGAACAAGTTTTGTGGAACAAGTTTTGTGGAAATGTTGCTGCTGCAGAAAATATGTATTAAATACATCCGCTTACATTAAATACGTCATTACATTTGTTCAAAACAAGTTCTTCGCAGTTATTGCACCTTAGCTATTATACAATAATGTTAAACATATCCATGCTGCTTGCATATTTAACCTAAAATGAATGAAACGAAATACAATTGGAACAAATTTGCATTGTACACCATGGCCACTAATGCATTTAAACAAACTCTCATATATATTAGTCATCATTCTCATAATAAATCCTTTTTACTCAATATTATCAATCAATATTCACCATGAAAAAAGTATTTATGCAACATTTACAGAGTTTAAAATAAAATACCCCATTAAAACTAAGCTAGGTGTCAAGGTTGTTATGACGACAAAATCTTAGGGGTCAAATAAGCCCTATCCTTTAACAAAAACGCAAGCAATGACTTTTAACTAACATAAACCAATAAAATCGATCTTTGCATCATAGAGACTGTACTAAGTTGGAAACACCAACTGGGGCGCTGTAAAGGTGATTATAAATATAGCTATATAGATATCTACTAATGGACCCTTTCAACCGTGAAAATCAACCGTGAAAAAGCAACACTGACAATGTCAAAGTAAAAAGACCATACAAAATACTTTTACATAAACGCAGGACGTCAATGTCAGATAATGAAAAAGCAACGTTTTAGTGCAATCCTTGCTTCCACACTGATACAAACAATGAAATCTTTGTTTGTTCATAGTAAAATGTAGTTCAAACATATATCTAAGAAGATAAATATATTACAAAGAAACTACATAACAAAACAAAATCATATTCATGTTGGGAATATTCGTGCTTATATGCTTATGCAAATTCGAATTGAACAATCAATTGAACAGTGCCTCGTTCAAAACTAAAAATGACAGGTTCATTTTGGGATTATATATGTCTAATTTTGAAAATTGAATAACAAAATCTTCAGGTTTGGTTCATTGCATTTAATTTTCTTGACTTTGATATGGAGAACGTGTGTGTGTGTGTGTGTGTGTGTGTGTGTGTGTGTGTGTGTGTGTGTGTGTGTGTGTGTGGAAGGGGGGGGGGGGGGAGCGTTAAGGGGGGGAGTGAATGGTGACATCAGTTCGTGAATACTGACGTGATTCTTTCTCTCAGTGTTACATTGTATTGGCGCTGATTGTCATATTGCCTCTTATACTCAACCTCAGCAGGTCCCCATTCTGGTTTTGGACGTAACAGATGCTGAAAACAAACCGACCAGTCATACTTAATTTCATTCAGTATTAGATACACATAGTGACCTGGAGGAAATCATGTTCACAACAAACACCAAGCTTACCCGGAAAGGCAAATCATATCAATGTGGCAAAACTTCAAATTATGTGAGGAATATTTTCTCAGATGACCTTTTTCGTCACTTTCAGAATATTCAATAGTATATGTTTTAGCATGGCAGGCATTTGTCTTGTGTAAAGTATCAGCACTTTGTAATTACTAAAACGCTTTTCTTGAGCAAATATATTTGCCACTCTTTTTAAGAATGTATGATCCATGTGGGATGAACAGCCAAGAAATGCAAATTGATATCCTACTCTGACCCAAGGATGTTATGAAAGACCATCCAGGGCACACTCGGTTAACATGCTTTAAAAATAGCTCTAGAAGATTGCGCCCTGTTCTCAAGTCACATGGCCAACTACATTTCAAAAGTCGTTCATGCTTGAGAAATGTGAATCATCAAATTTGCTTCACGCGGGAACACACGGTAGGCTCTGGGGATGTCTCTTGTCATGAGATTGTGTTCAAGTTACATTAATGCCATTCGACTTCCAGTAAATAATGTCGAGGAGAAAATAAAATTGATATTGTATTGATTTAATGCAAACCCTTGCTATAATTACTCGCTTAATTCACCCAGCTTCATACAAGACACAAGTATTACCTGAGAAGAGGTGAAAAGTGCTATCACTGCAAACACGGGTAAGGGTACCAGCGAAGCCAGTGCAATGAACCACCCCATCACGTGAGCCCACACTGGAAAAGCGGAGTAGAAGGATTGAGGGTCGTAATCAATGAAGGATAACACCAGGAAAATCTGAAAATAACAATTACATTTGTTAACATTTATAGTTCACACTTTACATGGATGGTAATGATACAATTTACCTCAAGATATCATTTATCGGAAATAGTATTACCAGGATGACAGGCGGGAGGATAAAACACCAGATGAACTTGAAGACTATTGGAGGTGGAATCCCAGTCATCATCTCAATATCTCTACTCAGCCGACCCATGCCTGAAAAAGTGGATATGGTTGGTATGGATATAAATCATACAATGGCCTGGCGCGGTGTGTGATACAGCAGACTGATTTAGACGGAACAACGTTTTCGCTACTAAATGCATCTACAGAACTGGAACAGGGATTTTAAATGATAGAAACTTCGTTTTTCGTTTCTATTTTCATTTCCAGAATCCACTGCACTATGAAAATAAATATATGACTGATTAATGAATGTATTCATCTTTGTGTATTGAGTCAGTTCTGAGGAACCCATAAATTCAAAGTAATGAACAGTGTAACTAGCTGTACCATACCATATATCCATCCAATTGTTAAGAACTGAAGGATACCAAGAATTGAGAATGACACTTCTATTATGTAAACGTCAACCAGGATCATCAAGCGAGCTCCTCCCTACAAATGAAAGGGTATTTTGTCACATATATTATCAAAATTAACAAACATGAACATGCTTATTCTTTTAATCATTCAAATATAAAAAAGGATAAATATTCTATATGCGTATGGCATCCATGGTACATCAGTTTCAAAGTACTCATTTTGTCACACCATGAAGACTTCTGACATGCTTTTAAGTATTAGCCGCGTTCACAATTGAAAGTGCTTATTGTCCTTTTGTGTGCATAGTCCTAACATCGTTGCTTCGAATCTCAGCGTGCTTGTGAGATAGAAACTTATTGGGTTCGCTGCCTACAATGATTGCCCTGGCTGATTTGCACAACAGTCTAATGCAAGTGAAGACAGTCGTAACATTGCTGTCTCTATTGACAAATGCACATTCTATTACTCCCGACGTGTGATGAATATACAAGTTGATCAAAGGATTGTTGATAGGGATCTTACTTTAGCCAAATATGGAAGAGTAAGAAGGAGGGATGTGATACAGACGACGGCGGTGACCACGAGTCTTATCATGCGGGATCGGCGTGGCAGGCTGTCAACTATAGCTGTGATGATCATTTCGGCATATATTAACTAAAACAAGAGATGGTAAGACTTTTATTAGCAACATAATAATGTATGTTAATATTGCACCGACTCCACCACACCCAAAAGAATACTTTTCAGCTGCAGTATCACCTGGTCAGGTCAACCGATCAGTGTGCATTTAAACTTAATGATGAGTACACGACTGGAGCTGTCTGTCACATTAACATCTCATCCAGCCTGTTTACCCGTCCATCAACTCTCATCAACGTTGCTTTACTAAACATGGTGTGCTACCTGTGAACAATGCACCATTTGTCATGTACTGTTGTCAGTCTTAGCAATTATTAATCAACTGTTTGACGTTATATTCAGTATTAGCTTAATTTGTTCATATAATGATTATCATAAAATTCACTGAGAGATATTAAATATACCATCATTACAAAAGATCGGATAACTTTGTTTCTTAAGTGAACGGACCAGGTGCTACAGCTACGTGTTGTATTTTAAATTAGATTTAATTTCACTCAAATTTACCTGCAAATTAAATCCAACAAGGAGAAAAATGGCGAAGTAAGCAAGACTCCAAAACTGAGAGACAGAGAGATGAGGAAATAGCTCCGGGAGAGGCTGAAATGCGCTCATGATTCCTGTTGATATAAGGTATACATACACGTTTTTAAACTATTCTAAGGTGATTGTCTCAATTGTTTATCAATAACGAAACCAACACACACACTTGTACACAGCGGTTTAAGCAAAGTGAAAATCCATCTTAGTATGCTCACGCTTATGCAAGGAGTCAAACGAATTCGTGCACTGCTTCCCTTCAAAACTTGATACGAATATTGGTATGAACATCTATTGTTCATCTGTATAAACAGAGCATAAGATAAGTTAAAATAGGAAATTGCATCGGACATAAATTCGATCACAGATGCGTCACATTTTGAAATTTTGTCCACATGTCTGACCATAAAACACTTTGAATAGACACTCATTTTTGGCATTTTCCACCTTTGAGTGCAATATGGTACTACTTTAGTCATTGAAACATATTTCATACAATTCAAATTGCATTATTTGAATGAGAATATGTGCCATATTGGTCATAACTTTGATTTTCAATATGACTATAATGGCGACCACACTGGGAAGAGTTTTCAAACGTCTCTTAAATGTAGGAAAAAACCTCTCATTTGTCCATAGGCCTTTTTGTGAGAAGATGTTTACAGTCGAATTTAAAACCAATCCACTTCACAATATGTTTACCCGCTACTGGGCATTGTGACATCAAATGAAACTGCTTTGTTGCTTAGTAATGCTTGTGCTAAATAGTCTGTCTCGTTTTATGACACCTATGCTTTTTTAAGAGCATTGATCAAGTAGTCAGGCTCTGTAACTTGAGAGCGTGAATCAGTTTCAGCCATCGTAAGCCGGTTCCAGACTCAGCTTATTTTACATACTCCTGTTATAAATAACTTAAAATGGCGGCGTGACACAAGTCAGGACATGTGGCATGATTTTGTTGATGTCAGGGCGCATTAACAAGACAGTCTAGATAACTTCATCACAATCTACTACAACTCTCGGAAGTGTATAATGATGTTAACAGGGAAGTCGGGATGAGACTACAATGTTTTACTTGACATATCACTAAATGCTACCGTTTGTAAGAGGCGGTCGCGGATTCAATTACAAGGAGAACGTCCATACTTAAAAGATTTTTCTTTTTGGATCGCCAGAATTAACAAAGACGTATCCCAAAAACACACGTAATTGCAAATCTGTAAAAGCATTTTGACTCATGTGACCATTGACTAGAGTAAGGCTGGACATATTTGTTGGTTACAAATTCCCAAGAGTGAAGTTGTGGGGGGATATCGTAAAAAATGTAGGGAACATTTTGATCATTTGAGCAAACAGTAAATAAATACTTATGAACAGAAGCCACACACGACAGTTAATGGCCTGCATCCAAATTTCTTATTTTTCCTTGATTAAATGCAATAAACAGTAAGAGGCTTTCTTTATTTGTACACAACATACCTGTCTTGACCATATAGTTCATCCTCTTTTGTTGTGTGTTTACGAGCACTCCATAAAGGCTCATGATCATCAGACCTGCGAGGAGGCGACCTGCAGCACTGATACTGCAAATTATGAGGGAGTCCCTGTAACAAAGACATATTGCGTGTGAATCAAGTGCAGTTCCTCTACGTTTGTGTTTTACTTATTTTTGTTACTTTTACATCGTGTTTCATAATTGAAGAGGCAAATCACCCAAATGGTTCTCACCGTAGTGCTGAGGATTTGAAGTGCCTGTAGCTTGCAAGATTGCTGACGAGGCCCGATGACATTCCAACAGTAAACATGGCCCAAAAGAACGCCCTGGACCACACCTGAAAATTATATGATACACTCGTAACATTATGCCTAACATCAAATACCCGAACGAAACGACTATGTATTTAGATTAAGGTATCTCGATTACAAATGCTGACACAAATTCGCACATGCTAAGATGAAAGTTTATAGTTCTTTATGTCGAGAGTGGTAGGGTTGCCAAAGATCCGTGTTTGAGCACACGGTCCCTGTAGAAGTACATAACCTATTGACAATGATACATAATAAAAGTGTCAAAAGTCTTTTCAAATCAATTATATTAATTTGAAACGTCAATGCCAGAGAAAAAGCACTCTCGATTATTCGGACCAACAGGCTTCAAGAATTACGTTTGAAAATAAAATATATTTACCAAATTTTCATTGTTGTTTATGAATATTCGTGAAATATACTAAATTTAACCCTCTGTTAATCAAAAGGACTTGTCCGACATTTTCTAAGAAGGAAAATAAGATCTTGACATAAACACACTTGACGTTCAGCCAGGTGTGCCAATGATGAAAATATAAACGTGAAAATAAATGGGTGCCTTGACAAAATAAACGCAACTCATGGATCAATTAGCTTTGAATCCGCTTTCTTAGAAATAAAAATATTCTAATGTAAGTGAATAAGTCCCCATGACGTTTTGAAAGTGCGCTTTCAGTTGCTTAATGAATACAATGTTTAAACTTACATTTTTTTTTTTTAGATCTGCCCCAAAATTCGGTGCAAAGAGAAATGCTAATCCATTCTGGGATCCAGGAAGAGTCATTGTTCCGATAAACAGAACCAGCGTCATTGCACACATCAGCAACATTGTGATGCAGAATACCTGCATAAATAAAATCAGTGTTACAACCAAGCCACATCTTATACCAAAGGTCAAGGCAGTATATATTAACGGTTGAATGGCAAAAATAAATTCATGTATGAACAGAAGGAAGAATAACTTTTTAAGGTATATTTTATCATGATAAATTTAATCATTTTACGTAATGAGTAACATGCACATTGCGCTACAAACCTTCCCAAGAACCTTCATTCCCCAGAACAGAGCAGCAAAGACTAAAACCGACACGCCAGCACAACAGCCAACCAACTCCCATTGGAGACCTCCCATGTCTTCAAATCCGGAGGATTCAGACACTTGTAAAACTCTTTTGCTGTAAATGTAGGAACATTCATTTCTTTTGCCACGATGTCTGATCCCAGAAATTCAGTTTTTACATTACACCAGTATTGTTATTTTCTCGTAATCACTGATTAGGGATTAACGCTGCTTTGATCCCTGTCGATGTTACGTCATATGCTTTATTTTTGCGTTACAAACACGCGCATGGTGCTGACAAACCTAGGGAAAGAAGCACAGCGGATCTGCGATTTGAGCTCCTAGGATCATAGGATCCTTGTACGACTAAAGGGAATAACTCTGCACAGTAAACACCGGTGCCTTGTCCCTTCCTTGTCGACAGGGTCGGTCGGGTCGGTCGGGTAGCCTAGTGGTTAAAGCGTTCGCTCGTAACGCCGAAGATCCGGGTTCGATTCCCGACATGGGTACAATGTGTGAAGCCCATTTCTGGTGCCCCCCGCCGTGATATTGCTGGAATATTGCTAAAAGCGGCGTAAAACCATATTCACTCACTCACTCACTCCTTGTCAACAAACAGTGCATATGCAGGCATGCACGTGAGTAGATTGTGACTTCGACGTTGCCTAACTGATGGCACTGCTTGTTCTATACTTTGTGTCAGCATTGAGAAAACCCAATGATCTACTCAATATCTACTGACCACATATTTACTCTGTATGCCATTATTCATAAATGTTTATGTAAAAAGAAATCAAAACTTTATGCGGCATTTCATTATGGGGTGGTACAAACACTAACACAAAAGGTAAGATTCTTGAGGATTTCGTATCTAATAATGACCTATGTATTTTTAATGATGATTCCCACACTTCTCTGCATCCTGCAACTGGCACATACTCTTCTTTAGATTGATCTCTAACCGATTCCTCTCTACTCAACGAATTCGAATGGTCAGTACACAACGACCTCTGTGGAAGTGACCATTTCCCAACTATCCTTTCACCAATATATCCTACTGATATTCCACCTTCAACGAGATGGAATTTTACAAAGGCTAACTGGACTTTATTTCAGACGTTATGTTCACATAAACTACAACCTGAGTTTTTCAGTGATCTTATCGATCCTATTCAAGTGTTCTCTGACGTTTTAAATGAAATTGCTGATGAATGTATACCAAAGTCCTCTACAAATCCACATATACGAAAACCATGGTTTAACCCCGATTGTAAACAAGCTAGGAAAGCTAGAAAAAAGGCAGAGACATACATGTATTTCCGCGATCACTGTCCACAATCTAAATAAATTTTAAATTTTAAATGCAAAAGCTAGTCGTACTCTCAAACAAAATAAACGCCAGTCTTGGCGCAATTATGTATCTAAAATAAATTCCCGAACACCGATGTCTAAAATTTGGAATATGATTCAAAGGATTAAAGGTAAAGGCTCAAAATCTAGTGTTCACCATCTTAAAGAAGGTGACACATAAGTAACTGATAAATGTGATACAAAAAATTAGGAGAAACTTTTGCTAAACATTTATCCTCATCAAATTATACCCCCAAATTTCAGAAATTTAAAGATCAACAAGAAAAAAAAGGAAATTAATTTTAACAGTGATAATGGTGAGGATTATAATGAAGTATTTTCCATTCATGAGCTGCATACCGCCTTAGGACAAGCTCATGATACTGCTACCGGTGCTGATAATATCCATTATCAGTTACTAAAACATTTACCTAATTCATGTTTAGAGACTTTTGTTGACTATATTTGACCATATTTGGACAACGGGTAATTTCCCTTCATCGTCGCGAAATGCCGTCATAATTCCAATACCGAAGCCTGGACGTGATCACACTGATCCAACAAATTATAGGCCTATATCACTCACTAGCTGTGTTTGCAAGACAATGGAACGAATGGTCAACAACAGACTTGTATGGTACTTAGAATCAAATAATCTTATAACAAATATTCAAATAGATTTTAGGTAAAACAGAAGTACTGTTGACCATTTGGTTAGATTAGAGACATATGTGAAAAATGCTCTAATCTTTTTCGACTCAGAAAAAAACTATGATACAACCTGGAAACATGGTATTTTAAAAGATCTTCACGAGATGGGATTGAGAGGCCGTTTGCCTTCTTTTATATCTCAGTTTTTAACAGATAGAAATTTCCAGGTACGTGTTGGATCCACTTTGTCTGATTTTTACGACCAAGATCAAGGGTTTCCCCACGGCAGCATCTTATCAGAAACGTTTTTTAGTATAAAGATTAATAGTTTAGCTAAGGCTTTGAATGACTCCGTTGATGGGTCGTTATTTGTTGACGATTTTAATATATCATGTCTAGGTAAAAATATGCACACGATTGAAAGACAGTTACAACTTTGTCTAAATAAAATCAATGTTTGGGCAGAGCAGAACAGCTTTAAGTTTTCTAAAACTAAAACAAATTGTATCCATTTCTGTCGAAAATATAAATCACATAAGGACCCAGAATTACATCTAGCTGGAACTCCAATTAAAGTCGTAAAAGAAGCTAAATTTTTGGGAATAATTTTTAATCATCACCTTATACGTTTTCACCACATATTAAATATTTGAAAGCTAAATGTCTGAAGGCACTAGACTTATTAAAGGTTGTTTCTAACTCCAAGTGGGGTCGAGATCAAACGACCCTCCTTCACTTATATAGATCTCTTGTCCGTTCTAAGCTAGATTATGGCTCCATTATTTATGGTGGAGCCTGTAAAAGCAATCTTAAACTTCTAGATTCAATCCATTATCAAGGTCTAAGACTCTGTCTTGGATCTTTCCGAAACTATTGACAGTTTGTACATTGAGGCCGACGAACCATCTCTTAAACAGCGCCGTATAAAACTTTCGTAACCTTACATCACAAAGCTATATTCTAATGAGTCCAACCCTGCATACAGCTGTATTTTTAATCCCCTTTATGAGGATCTGTATAGTAAAAGGTCATCTCTTTTTCCGCCTCTCGGAATAAGAATTAAACCTTTTATTTCTGCTGCTGATATTACACTTGAAAATATATCTCCTTTCCGTCTGCTTTCCTCTCCTCCTTGGCAACTAAATCGCGTGTAAAATGTGATCTAGTTTTCACAGATTATCTTGACTGCCCTACTGGTCTACGACAAGGATGTATTTTGAGTCCATTACTGTTTTCACTTTTCATAAGCGAATTATCAAATGAAGTTATTTCTAATGGAAAGCATGGTGTACAGTTATTCCCTGATTTAAAAGAGATACTGTTATTATTGTTTGCCGACGATGTTATTTTAACATCAGTTAGTGTCACGGGGCTACAGACTCAGTTGAATATTCTAGAAACCCACACAGAAAAATGGAATTTGACGGTAAATCTGGAAAAAAGAAGAAGTTGTATTCACACGAGCTGGGGTGCTTTGAAAAAAGGGGGGAAAAGGTTGAGGTAGTGTCAAGCTACAAATATCTTGGTTACCTTTTTATTCATCAGGAAATATGTTATTGTATTTAGATAACTGTGGACGCCACACATGGGCTTCTAACATTCGTTTACTTCTTTTTTCTCATGGCTTCGGTTTTGTATGGATATCGCAAACAGTTGGGAACCAGCTTTCATTTCTACGACTTTTTAAGGATACTTTATAAACATGTTTTACCAAAACTGGAGATCAGTCTTCAACTCTGGTTCAAGATATCATTTATATGCAGAGTTTAAAAGTCTTTTAGAACCTGAAAAATATTTTTCAGTTTAGTATGAAAGAAAATTTAGAAACATAATTGTAAGATTCAGAGCAGGTCTTTTAAAATTGAAGAATAATGAAGGCAGATATCGGTCGATAGAAAAGTCTTTTCGAATATGTCCAGTCTGTAATAATGGTAAAGAGGAAGAATTTCATTTTTTACTCATTGGTTCATGTTATAATGATCTCAGAAAAGAATACTTACTGGCAAACTTTGCCGATATCCTAGCTTGAACCATTTCCAATCTATAATGTGTAATAACAATTAAGCAGTCTTGAATAGGTCATCACGTTTCCTATATTACGCTTATGCAAAAAGGACAAGTAGTACAGTTCATTTATGACATAAGTCATGTGTCACGTTTCTTTACCGTTTCATCTGTGAACAATTGGTATGTTGTGAACTGTAATTGTTTATGGGCCCGAGGCCTTCATGCAAATAAACGTTCTTCTTCTACTAAATATTTGTGTCTACGAATGTGGCGCTTGCATGTCAATATGAACACCACTTGGCAGGCAGGGTAGGGGTACATATCGCATATATATATATACACACACACACACACACACACACACACACACACACACACACACACACACACACACACACACACACACACACACACACACACACATTTGCGGGTGTTAAATAAACTCAATACCTGGAAACTTCATTTTGAACCGATCGGTCGCGCCGGAGGTTTCATATTTTAAAGTTGTTATTCTTAACAAGAAAAGTCTTTACGAACAGTGAATAGTTCAGGTGATGTCAGGACTCATTTAACTAGTTTCAACCAATCAGATTATAGCACACACGCCCTTTAGTTTTACCATGTTTACAGAACAGAACCCTTCAGAGGAAAGCAGTTTAGCTCACTGATCACGGTGGGTTCAATGTTGGATTGTGGGTTTGTTATTTTTAGCTGCGATCAGCAATATTATAATATAGCCTGTACATAATCGGTCCTGGGCCTTTGCTTGGTTTCAAGAGATACATCACATGCCGTCGGAATGCGATGGCATGCAATACACCAAATCACGACAATCACCACAGTCAAGCAACTGATTGCTGATGATGTAATTAGTTGCCTTCATGTTACATGGTACAATAGAGCAGTTGTGTATGGCCACAAACAATCTAATGATCACATAATCACATATATCGTATGATACTTTCTCATTCAGTTGAATTATGCTCTAGGTTTTTCAGCACAATACCCGTGCTCGTGGGTTTCACCAAAGTGGTAAATCTCTGAGACGTGCATTACTTTAGGCGTTCATCAAACATTAAGTTGACACGCCGTGATATAACTGGAATACTGTTCAAAGCGGTGTTAAGTCCAGCTCACTTACTCTTTTAAGTGCATATCTTTCTCAGGTTAATATATGCAAGAGTAGGTCACTTACTAAAAGTATTCTGTACTGGGGCCAATGTGTTTATAGGTATTATTGGAACATGCTGGCGTGTTCCATGCGTTGTTGCAGTTTGACCAGGGTAGAACGGGGTAGAACGACTGAACCACATAGTACAGAGACCACGATGAGAACAGATTGTACACCGGATAGTACATGGCGGAGGAAACCATCATCCCAACACCTATTCCTGCAACAGTAGGGGTATACAACTGACACAAAGACACACAGACATTGTCGTAGTGATAACGTTGGAAGGCATATCACATTATGAAAGGTGAGGTGAAATGAGGGAGATCCTGGGATTTTATCGAAAAAATGAAATTGTACCCAAAAAGTCTTGAAAAAGATAATTATGATTCAGGCCCTTAAAGAACCCTATCTCACAAAATACATTGATGCAAGGTGTGATTAGTGATTCATAAACACATGCTTATGTTATGATCGGAATCGTATAATTGACTAATGATTATGGAAAGGGTTTTGTTTATATTTTACCTCTGAACAACGGACACAGGTTCCATATGTGGGCTGGTCCCCTGCTACAGAACTGTCCTAGGCACAGATCCAGGTACATGATAGGCACTCCGAGGATGAAATAGAAGCCTGCATAGATTACCATGAAAGCAGCTGGAAAAAATAGTGTCTGGTTATCGAATCTGGAATATTTTTTTTATTGGAACCTACAAACAACGACTGAAGGAAAGCAACTCGGACACCAGTGGCAAGTGGGTAATTTATAACCTTTCCCCCAACACAGACACAGAACTGAAAGCTGGATACATGGATGAATATCTCATGACTTATGAATTTTCATAATTCCTTTACTTATTTAAAAACATAAATGAACGTACAATGCTCAAATCATCCTGAAATAAAACATTTATTGGACTAATTTCGGATATCACAGATAGTGTACATGCAATCATTTGTAAAATAATGATAATAAACATCCACAATTGTAATGAAAGGATATTCATAATAAACATCAAAAAGGATATTTGAAAATCTATTGTATTTACCTCCGTCTGTAGCGCTGAAATAGGGAAGTGTTGTAAATGTTCCAAAGTGAATGCTTAATGATAGAACCGACGCAATAAACTCTCCAGTGGAAGTCCAGCGTTCCCGCGGTATCCCCTCACAGTTGTCTGATTCGGTTTGGGCCACAGAACTTGTCAGGTTGCCGTGACCCGCGGGTGGTAGTTGCTGTGTTGACGGTTGAGGAGGGTTAGATATTTGTGGTGGCTGGTTGGTTGATGGTGGATGGTTTGTCGGTGTAGGCTGCCCCTCTTCATGAGTAAATCCAGAGGTTGGTGCTTCCATTTGTACCATCGCTATCTCAGCCATAGTGTCGTACACACCGCAACTTCTCCACTAATGGTAAGGACAGGGCTGCTATTCACGAACTGTGACTGTCAATTGAGAAACAGGTGCAGTTATGAATAAATTGAATAGACAAGTCACATACCGGAATTCGTTTTATGAAGGTCCGGTTTCTTTACAATGAATAGATATGCCTGTGGCCTATATTTTATACTGGTTGTTTCACGGGCTATTTTACAGTAGCGATCGACTGGGGAGGGTTATATCTATTTATTGTTTGAGCAGGTTAACGTTTACACATTGTTCTCGTGAGTGAGTATGGTTTCACTAATACAAACGATCAAATTTGTGTCCAGTTAAGTCGATGTTTACAATCTGATTAACTGTAGTTCCATATTATTACGATGCCAATCTCATTAAAATCAGACCTTAGTTCACTGCCGCTAAACAAAGATCTGAAGACATCCCATTAGGGGTCATGTCAGAACGACCTTTCATCCGACCAATCAGAGCGTCACTTACATAATCATGAAAGTGACAGTAAGAATGTGATTTCTGATCATTCAACCTGAAAACTTTAACACGGGGTATTCCGAACGATAGTTACGGCTTTAACGACCGAATCCATATAATCTAGACCATCTATTATCCATTCCAGAATATTCTTTTGTTCAGGTTTCGAATCTTTGATGGAGAATTTGTCAAAATATGTTTCGAAGCGTAGTCGCCAATTTGAAATTAGTGCTGTAAAGCTTGAGAAAGCTGCCTTCTGATTGGTCATTCCATTGGTCGGTCAAAGTTCGCGCAAGGTCGGTCTGACGTGACCCGTAATGGGATGTCCTCAGATCTTTGTTTAGCGGTAGCGAGAACTAAGATCTGATTTTAATGAGATTGTTACGATGCCATATAGAAATAAATCCCTTAAACTCATTCACGAAGCAAAAAGCTGCACGTTTTTCATGGCGGGGTATAATGGCAAAGTGAAACATGTCAGCAAGATATATTCTTTGTAGCAGCTCCTGGTATATGCAGAGTAACAGTTGTACCGGAAAACTGAAACGATCACTGTCTGAGTGATATTTACACTTTAGGTGTATTTGAGGCAATTGTGTGCACTGTCTGTTTGTGTATCCGGTTGCGCCCTAGATTCGTGTGCTAATTCTTTGCATACAAAGTATAACATACGCTTTTTATTCCAGATGAATATTATGCAGTCATATAAGTTTTGGTCAATTATGTTAACACCATATCGCCCTCGTGGATTTCACCGACTTGCATCACTTTCCTCTCTCCTCCTACATCAAACTGACACACGGTGATGTAACTTTAATACTTTTCAGAGCGACGATAAACCAAAGCGTACTCACACACTCACTATTTTTAACATGTTATAAGACGTGTTATATATAAAGATTCAAGCATTCGCTCGAAAGACTTTGTCTTTTATACAATCTCCGAGCGTATTGTAAATGTGTTGTTTGTCTTTGGGCGATATTAAATGACACTCTTCTACTGTTAGGGTTATTAAAGCAGCGAAAGCAGGACGTTTTCTCCAGCCGCCAGGCGTATCTACACAAAAACAAACCGCGGCTCACAACCATGTGAGTTAGCATGCAGCAGGTGTATGTAAACAGTTCACGCCCTTTCATGTGCGTCAATGCTGACATATCTCAGGGAAATGTCAAACCTAAATGGAGTCTTATGATATTGAACGAATAAGGGAATGTATGACAATTATTTTGTTGTAAACATTATCAGAAAAGAAATATTTCACTTGTTCGGTTGATCCTCTTATTCAGTTTCTTAGTTCATCAGCCGTGTTTACAATTTTTAGGACTTAGACGCAAAACGATCGTTTTAAAATATGATGTAAAAGAAGCGGAAAAAGACATAGAACTAGGTCTAGATGGATCCACAGACTTATTTGACAGTCACGGACCTATATTGTCTGATAGGGTCTGAAAATACTGATGTGCCGACAACATTCGGTAGAAAAAATGGCTGCCTACAAATCCTCTCGCTTCGACCGTAAATAACGAACTGCGCATGCGTGGAACGTTTTTCGTTCGACAACTTCCGTAAAAACGTAAAAACGTTCGTTCCGGATGGAGGACCGACATACTGCAGTCTACCCGAAAGCGTTATTGTTTTTTCCGTCCAGAGTTTTCTATCACAATAATTACGAGTTGTTAATACCCAATAATTGCGGATTAGTGAACTCAATGTCTGTCACAGAATCTTACTGATTTCTTTCCACATTGGCATTTTCGAGACCACTCAGGAGTATTTCTGCCCAACGGTAAGGTTACGGGATAACATTAGACATTAGACATTAATGTTTCACATTTTCCTTAATCCTGCTTACAAACGTTATGAGGGTGTCACGTAGCGTTCAAGACTACTGCACGAGAGAGCAATGCGGAAGGGCGCTGATTCAGGTTTGAGGGTGGCAGGTCTGGGTGTGGGATCGAGTACAGAGGTGATGACTTTGTCGATGAGATTGGGAGGGTAATTGTTGAGATGGGTGAAGGCTTGGTGGAGGTGTTCGATCTCATGTTTTGGGTCAGCAGAAGAAAGGTTGATGACTCGTTGGGTGGAGATGAGGCCAGTCTTGGTTCTAAGGGGGTGGTTGGAGTTCAAGCGGATATACTGGTCGGTGTGGGTGGGCTTTGGGTAAACACTGGTTTGGATTCTGTTTGTTGGGCTTCTGGAGACGTGGTCATCTAGGAAGGGTAGTTGGTTGTCCTTTTCTATTTCTATTGCACTATGCCCTTAAACCGACAATGGTCTTAAGTCTACAATATTCATGAGTGGGCGTGGCTTATGTTTGCACGTGACACTATCTTCCGCAAAGCTTGTCATTGCGTGATACGATGTTGCACTCACAATCTGCACATCAGGTATATAAGATGTAGTTGATGTGTCTTTGAAGATTGACGTACATGCACGTGTCTGCTTGTACAAGTCCGGACTAATGCCGAATTTATAGTGCTAGCCATGCCGCAGTTAATCAGGAATACCTCATTCAGACACAATATACTGATTCTGAGCCGATCAGCCTCTTATTGTCGAACGCCAGGCAGGATATCAACAAGTACCATCTTGTATATTGGTATGACGCGGCCGGAGATCGAACCCCCGATCCTTACCTCTACAGGCGGACTTCTATACCACTAGACCACGAAGGCGGTTACAAAGCTTCTGAAATCATCACTCGGCACAGACGTTCTTTTACCACATACCCGTGAAGATCCGGGTGAGAATTGGTCTTTAGAAACCCATGCTGGTCGTAAGAGGCGACTAAAGGGATCGGGTGGCCTGCTTGGGCTCAGTGAGTCGGTTGATTGTTTGTCAGTCGCAGGCCTATTGCATGGATCGTTGTTCATGATATCAATCACAGGATTGCTTGGTCAAGTCTCGATTATTTACAGACCATTGCTGAGTGGAGCGAAAACTATGATCTCAGAACGTTGTCATAAATGCAGATGCAGGATGTTATTTTGATGAGTTTGTAAAACGTTTATTGACTATTTACAGTTAGTGATTGCGTGCGTTGGGTTTAACGCCGCTTTTAACAGTATTCCAGTGTCAGCGTGTCAGCTTAATGTGGGAGGAAAGACGCAGGTCTCAGACGTTTACCACTTTGGTGAAACCCACGAGCATGGGTATGGTGCTGACAAACCTAGAAACATAATCGGGGCGAACCGGGATTCGAACCCACAATCATAGGTTCCTGGCGTGCCCGAGGGACGCAATTCTGCATAGCGAATCACGGCGCCCTAGACGACTGGACCACCCGTGACCCCCAATTTACATGTATAATTCATAAGATGTCGGTACTTAGTGTGTTAATTTGACATCAAGTGTATGTCACTACATTTTGTTCAAATATAACAAGGTATTCTTTTGAATTATCGTAACAAGAAAATACAGATACAAGGGTCAAAACCCTTTTAATAATCATACGAAATGTCTGCTAACGATTGTTGATTTACGATTTCGAATAAAATCAAAGTGATGATGCCAGGTGATCGCGAAAAAGTTGCACGTAGCGTATCCTGTCCTACCGGTGGCACCTGTCACAAACACTTGCAAAGGCAAGTCAAATGTTCACCTGAAAAAAAACACCTCGGGAACATAATGGTCTATGGTACAAAATATGGAATTGCATCGGACATCACCTTTGTCACCGATGCGTCAAATTTGGAAATATTCTCCACATGTTTACCATCAAACGTTTTGAATACTTTACTGAGGCCTAGGATGTCATCACATTGATCAAACAACTTTGGAGCAAGAATCATATAACATAGGGTTCCTCGTCAATTAACAAAAACATAGCATGTCTTCAAACCATAACCGAAACAAATTCTGTCAAAGAAATTGTTTATAAGGGACTTCTGTCAAACGGAAATATTGTCTCTATGGACTACTGATAGCATTTACTATCTGAGTGATATTTATAATACAATTTGAGTTTTCAGACAAAAACAGAGGGAATCAATGATTTTTAGGATCGCCAATTGACCCAAGACTCGTCTCCCTTTAACAATTGTTTGACCCAAATGACTCACATTTTGATATCAAACTTGATCAATAAAAAACATAACAAAACACTTTTTCAATATTTATGACCATTTTATGGATAGAAAATGTTAACACTAATTGTATTCATACAAGTTATACATATAGTTCCAGTGTTTGGTGAGCATTTAAATATATTGGAATGAAATAGACAAAAGAAAGAGTAAATAACAATAATGCTCCGGATACCATATTCTACATCACGAAAACATGACATGCAGGGATGCATGGAACTGACCAGGTCCTCAGTGTATCAGAGACGCCGTGAGCTCAGCAGTTCGGAATGCTTTACCGGTGTAGTGAGTGAGTTAGTGAGTTAGTTGGGTTTAACGCCACTTTTAACAGTATTCCAGTTATATCACGGCGTGTCAGCTTAATGTGGGGGAAAAGTCCGAAGTGATGCAGGTCTCAGACGTTTTTTCCACTTCGACCTAGAAACATAACCGGGTCGAGCCGGGATTCGTACCCACAATCGTGCCCAGGGGACGTCACTCTGCACAGCGAATCGCGGCGCCTTAGACGACTGGGCCACCCGTGCCCCCTCTACTGGTGTAAGGCACAACATGGAAGTTCGGATCATGCAATGTTTAGATGGATGAAAGTCAACAGAGTTGAAATAATAAATTATGAATCTGAAATTCTCAAACTTCGCGATATATGTATAAGATGCTTCTCCTAACTACGACATTATTAAATATAGAATATGAAGGAAATTGTCCCTTACAGTTGCCCAGGACATGCCGGAAACAATGGCATATAGTACATAATAAATCTCCCGATAAACAATGAAAGGAGCGCCAAACATAATTTGATCAAGCAGTTATGACAACGTCATAATTCTTGGCAACCTTGCCAAAACATTTGATAGTTACATACAAAACATTGAAGTTACCTAATGATTAATGTCATCAGAACAGTGTGTATTTACGCTCTCAAGATAACGCTAATATGTAGACGTGTAACAACATCCAGAATCTTACAAGCTTCGTCGCTGTAGTTACCTTAATAGGCGTTTCCTTCTTACATTATGACATCATGAAAGTGAGATAACATGTCAGTTATTAAACAGAATATCATATCTAAATCTTCATTCTTGGAGTTTGTCGATTCAGGAGATGTGTTTTTCAATTTCAAAGTAACACTGCACTTAATAATTTCATGACGCATTTAAGACAAGGAACAAACATCACATAGTTTATTTGGAAAATGACTGAATAAAACCAATTGCAAAGACTCCAGGCAAGATCGTCTTAAGAATTAACTACAAGAGCGATGTAGAAACAGTAAATATACAATACTTAGTCTTTGAGTATTGGTCCTGTCAAAGCTGTGTTGCGGGTACACGGTTTTTCACGTATTGGATAATCTTCACAATGTCGCCATCAACACTAGGATGCAATAACATGGACACTAATAACACTTCCAGTACCATTATAATACGTCCAGTATATACACCATGCACAGGTGTTAAATGATATAAAACTAAACAAGGTTTGGTCTATTATAAACAGTTATAATGAACCCGAAGTAGTATTTACATTTACATTCTGTATTGTATTACAGAACTCAATGGATAAGACACGTTTCAATTTATGGTGTTATTTATGTTTATATTTTTGTTTCTGATTTCTTATCCTTGGGGTATCTGTGACATTTATTACTATCAGTACGGTAGGCTCAACCCCAGTCTAACAGAGCACCTAGTCTATAACATTACCCAGATCTACAACAGTACCCTTGCGGTATATTTAATTTCAGTTCTTAAGTTCCACTGAATATTTTCCTGTGATGTCACTAAGTTCCTTGGATTCAAACCCGATACTGAGTGCTCGCATGGACTGTCCGCGAGGCTGAACTTGAGGGCGGAGATTGAGGGTAGTGTTCCATGACATGCCAGGCCCGATGTTGCTGAAAAGAGAAAGTCATACCTTTTATGATTTCACTAAAAGTTATTAAAATCTCGATCGATTTGATACAATGGCTGCTGAGTGTGAAAAGCATATCAGTTAGTAATCATCTTTGAATATCAGTTCTCTTAATTCAAACTCATGATCACTATTTGAGAGCAGGTCATATCTGGTATTATAAGCATGGCGAGTTAAAATTATATGCATAATATAAGTATTTGATATCAGCTGATATTTGGTATGAAAAGCATGGATATATATATATATATATATATATATATATATATATATATATATATATATATATATATATATGTGTGTAAATTAAGTATTACAGGAACGGGATAGTTGGTATTATGGAGAGGTATATGAGTAAGCTGGAAAGTATTTGAGAACAGGGCATATTTGGTATTTTAAGATGGAGAAATATCCTGGTAAGCTAAGCATGTGAGAGCAGGTGGTATTTGGTATTGTGATTGTGGAGAGATGTATGTGTAGGTTAGTAAGTATTTCAGAACAGGGAATATTTGTTATAATGGAGAGAGATACTGGCATTGGTATGGCAAGTATTTGAGAACAGGTGATATTTGGTATTATGGAGAGAGATACTAGCATTGGTATGGCAAGTATTTGAGAACAGGGGATATTTGGTATTATGGAGAGAGATACTAGCATTTGTATGGCAAGTATTTGAGAACAGGGGATATTTGGTATTATGTATATACAGAGATATATGGGTACGCTATTTGATAGCAGGTGATATTTGGTATTATAAGCATGGAGGGGGTATATGGCCAACTCGGTATATGAAACAGGTACTATTTTGTATTGTATGGAGAGGTATATTCTCAAGCTCAGTATCTGAGAGCGTGAAATCTATCTCCTTTTAAACTCACCTAATTTTCATAGTGTCCTTGGTAGTACCTACTGGATCGAAACCTCCCGCAAACGAAACTGAGCACCTCGTCAGCGCCACCGCCAGGGGGTTTGTGAATGAGACATCAACTTTGATGGTGTCTAACAATCCACATGTCGCTGGGCCCTGTTGAACAAATAAGACGACTTGGTCAACGATATTGATCTACTCATGAACACAAACACTCAGAGCGCCAGTTAACAGAAGAAAGTAGTTCCATTTTATATACTTCATCGGATCATAAAATCAGAGAAGCAAGAACCACATGGTAGACCATCTGCTCAGGATAAAATACATTTGCCTCAAGTCCGAATTGACTGGTTGGTGCACTGCAAGGACTAGTTGAGGTGTAGGAATATAATACTGTCCCAACGATACGCATGAATACCGCATCGGTGAGCAATAACCTCATTTCAATACATTTGATCAATTATGAGGTTTAAAGGTTGAAGGTAAAACATGAAAACACCACTTTCCAACATGACACTCTTAACGAAACACTTTGTTCCTTGATCCATGGGTTTTTGTTACAAAACGTGGGGACCGTTGATCACATATCTGCCTTCAGAAGTTCAGGGCAATTTGTCAAACATGAGGTGAGGTGAAATGGGGTTTAACGTCGCGTCCAAGATTATTGCACTTAGAAAGCGACGTGCATGCACGTGTGTGTGTGTGTGTGTGTGTGTGGCTGCTTGTACTAGACCGGACTGATGCCGATTTATAGTGCTAGCCCACTGAGATACCATGCCGCAGTTTAACATGAATACCCCACTCAGACACAGTATACTGACTCCGAGCCGACCAGTCCTTGTTTAAGCCCCTTAACGCCGAGCGCCAGACAGGGTAACAACAAGTACCATCTGTTAACGTCTTTTGGTATGACACGACCGGGGATCGAACCCCGGACCTTCCGCTCTCCGGGCGGACGCTCTACCACTAGACCACGGAGGCGGTCTTGTCAAACACGAAAGCAAATGTCATATGGAGTTTACTGAGAAAACAATAAGTGATCTGCTGGATTTCCTCTTTGAAAACATCCAATACAGATTTGGTAGTAAGATATTTCGACAGGAAGCAGGCATACCCATGGGCAACAATTGTGCTCCCCCTCTTGCTGAACTGTTTCTTTATGCGTGTGAATTAGAATTTCTGCTCGGTTGGGCAAAGTCAAAACAATGTAATATGGCCAAGAAATTTAACTTAGGCTTGAGCAGGTATATCATTGATCTGATATCGTTCCATAACCACCAAATGGCCAATTCCTTTCCACTAATGTTTCCACCTGAACTAGAAATAAAGGCGTCTGTTTCATTTGTTTATATCTATACATAACGATTAAGTGTGACAAAACAGTCTCCACAAGATTGTATGACAAGCAGGATGACTAACTTTCGAACAATATTTCCTCAGCTCCAGCCCTTGGTGTCTACATTTCACAACTTTTGAGGAATATGTGATACATGCCAGTTGTTTGAAAAGGGGTTTTCACCCATATGTCCGTACTAAATGGTCAGTTGCTATGCTTTATCACAGGTGTCCTTGATATAAACCAAACAAACCCCTACTCAACACAACATTAGGTTTGTTTGGTATGGTTTCTTTTCTATAGGTGTAGGTGTATTGATCTACACACCAAGCTGAAAATCATAAAATGTGGGTTCATATTAAAGTCCCACTTTTTTTAATGATAACAATTGTCTGCAAATACCTGAGGGTAAAGTTAACTCAAAAGTCCAGAGAGCATGTTAAATACCCCGCCCAGGATTTAAGCTCTGCTTGGAGAACTTCAGATTATCCGACCACAGAAATTGGCGACATATCAGTGTTTGTGGAAAGAGGAATGAGCATAGGGAAACACAACATGTTTAAGAGCGTATGTTTTGGGATATATTATGTCCGCTTTAGTTACACAGAAACGACATGTCGTAACCAGTGATAATTATTATGTCCCGCAATAAGCCTTCCTAGTAGGGGGTTAGTACCGAGAGTTCCAGATCGGGTCTCCTCATACGGAAGTCCATGTCCTCTGTTGCGATGTCATCTTCGTCTTCCGTGCAAATGGCGACGGCTTTCAGCTCAAAGTTGAAATCATCTTGTGGCCTCTGATTTGCTTGATGTTCATCTACCGTTATCGTGAATTCCTGGCCTGGAGAAAGATAAGCAGACTCCAAAGCAAGGTTTGAATACAGTATCCTTCATGGGTCTTCCCACAATTTGCTCTATTTTTTTGCAGTGGAACGGTACGTGACAGGGATCCAACCATCGATATTACAAAGCCCCCGAACGCCAAATTGAATCATTTCTGATACAACAACCCCCCCCCCCCCCCCCCCCCACCACAACCACCCCACCCCCACCCCCACAAACAAAACCTGCTTAAACATCCCGCTCAAACACACACACAATATTCAATAGTCCTAGAGTTCGTATGACAGCCATTTAGTAAATATTTGATAAATTTGTGACAATGTTGATAATTTGTCACCCTAGCTTGAACGCCTGTTATCAACATATGAAACAGAGATTAATGGTTTTCAAATTAAAAAGCCAAGATGTCATGTGTTATTTCTAATAGCACCCACGTACAGAATATGAAATGTCATGATGGCACATATACATGCTCATTATGGTTACAGAGTCACTACATTTGGGGCCATGTACACACAATTTAAGGTTCTTCAACCAGGATGTGTCAAAGAAAATGCAGTAGAACGCCGCACTCGGCAATATTCCAGCTGTATGACGGCGGTCTGTAAATAATCGAGTGTGGATCAGACAATCCAGTGATTGACATCATGTGCATCGATCCACGCGATTGGGATCGATGACATGCATCAACCAAGTCAGCGAGCCTGACCACCCGATCCCGTTAGTCGCCTTTTACGACAAGCACAGTCGCCTGTTACGGCAAGCATGGGTTGCTGAAGACCTATTCTACTCCGATCCGATGTGAAGTGAGTACTCAGGATAATTGTAGTACATACTGGCACCAGCCTTTATCTTGGTTTCGTCGAATTTTTTAAGAGCCGCGATCCCCGTGACGGAGTCGAAGTAGGTCTTGTACAACACCTTCAGGCTGACTTTGGCGGTGCGATCTTCTTTCTTGCAAGTGTTCTTGACCTTCACCTTGAAGGTGAATGGGCTGCCCACAGTGATATCGTCCATCTCGTCAATCTCAATGGCCAGGCTGCCACACTGCAACGAAAGTACACGAGTGTTATCATTTCCTCAAGGACATTGGGTTTTTTATGTTGCTTGTTTCTTCTAGGTGGAGAGAGATTACCATAAATGATATATAACAAGGTGCGTTCGTGGGGGGTTCACCCCAATTATGTTTCTAGATTTGTCATCACCATACCCGTCGAAGTGGTAAACGTATGAGACCTGCATCACTTCGGGCTGTCCTCCCACATTAAGCTGACACGCCGTGATATAACTGGAAATATGTTAGAGGTGAGGTGAAATTGGGTTTAACGTCGCGACCAAGATTATTGCACTTATATAGCGACGTGCATGCACGTGTATGTGTGTGTGTGGCTGCTTGTACTAGTCCGGACTGATGCCGATTTATAGTGCTAGCTCACTGAGATACCATGCCGCAGTTTAACATGAATACCCCACTCAGACACAGTATACTGACTCCGAGCCGACCAGTCCTTGTTTTAGCCCCTTAATGCCGAGCGCCAGACAGGGTAACATCAAGTACAATCTTTTAACGTCTTTTTGCATGACGCGGCCCGGGATCGAACCCTGGACCTTCCGCTCTCCGGGCGGACGCTCTACCACAAGACCACGGAGGCGGTCGAAAAATGTTAGAAGCAGCGTTAAACCCAACTCACTCACTCGCTTACTCATGCGAGTTACCTGGACTTCATGCTCAGAATCGGACTCGTCCTCGCAGCCGTTCATCAGACGGAATTGCTTTTCAGCACAACGGTGAATTGTCTTCTCCTTCTCCGAGCCTGAAATACACCGACGCCATTTTCTAACTTTGTGGAACATACATGATCACCATTCTATGTTTTGCTTACTGTATTTAACTTGTATTTCAAGCATGTCATCTGTTAAACCAGCCAAAAGGACATGAATTAATATCCATTGTGTGGTTTGAAATGGCGTTAAATGAACACTAGGCTAATGTGAATATGGTCGAGCTGAAGAAGCCCCATTTCCAAACCAGGCGGATTGACGGTCGTAATATATTAAACAGATTTGATAACATTATACGTCTGGACCCTTGACTAGACACATAACAAGATCTAGGTTTCTAGAAGACAAACCACCATTGTCAGCCCTTGATCGGACACGTTGCCCCTCCCAGAATGGTATCTCCTGCGAGCAATGATACATATACTTCAATAAAAATGCGTTTCAGCTTGCCTTCTTCATATTTATAGAACTCTGTGACGTCTTCCCTTTCCAAGTTGTCGTTTCCAAACAAGAAGCTGCCAAAAGATGGAGAGACGTATGGCTTGCCTGTAGGCTGGTGGGTACTAATCTTCTTGCCGACACTGGAACAAATCAATACATTGGGTAGAAAGGCAGACATGTGGTGTTAGCCTTATCAAATGTCTAGCATCTCATCTGAAGGCATTGCCTTCTTTGTAAATGTATATATGACGTTGAGGTTAATCATACATGTTCGGAACAATATAACTCCTGTGAGTGTGTGTAACGATTACTGTGTCTTCCTGACTGACGACTCACGCATTTTGTTCTTTGTATATATGACGTTGAAGTTAATCATAAATGTTCGGAACAATATAACGGCGACTCTTGTGAGTGTTTGTAACGATTACTGTGTCTTCCTGACTGACGACTCACGCATTTCTTAGGCGCTTTTTCTCCACGAGTTTAGCGACCACGTTGCTGCTCTTCCATTCCACCTTGTCGGCGTTCACCTCAGCGTAGATGAAGCTGGTGTCGTAGCCCACGTTCAAGTGACCTTCTTTAATGGCAACCACAGGCGCGGGGCCGCAGGTAAACACACCTATACGCCGAGAAACGAAACGATATATGAGTGCAAAAACGTAAGATTTCCAAACAAGTATAATTAAAGTGATAAAACCATTTCCATGATCATAGGTGAGGTGAGGTGAAATGGGGTTTTGCACTTATATAGCGACGTACATGCACGTGTGTGTGTGTGTGTGTGTGTGTGTGTGTGTGTGTGGCTGCTTGTACTAGTCCGGACTGATGCCGATTTATAGTGCTAGCTCACTGAGATACCATGCCGCAGTTTAACATGAATACCCCACTCAGACACAGTATACTGACTCCGAGCCGACCAGTCCTTGTTTTAGCCCCTTCATGCCGAGCGCCAGACAGGGTAACAACAAGTACAATCTTTTAACGTCTTTTGATATGATGCGGTCGGGGATCGAACCCCGGACCTTCCGCTCTCCGGGCGGACGCTCTACCACTAGACCACGAAGGCGGTCCTCCATGATCATAAGAAGGCAGTGTCCGCTGTACGATTCCGACAATATCATGAGCAAATGTCTATGAATAACTATCAGCTAATGACAACAGGTGTTCGCGAAAAGGTGATCGTATCCTGCCCCATTGGTTACACCCATTACAAACACATGCAGAGGCAGGTCAAGTGTGTACTTGAACAAACAAGGGGACATATGATACACATGCAAGTAGGAAACTTATCGAACATCAGTTTGGTCACTGATGAGTCAAATTTGGAAATATCCTCAACATATCTAGCATAAAACCGTTTGAAATCTTTACTAAGGCCGTGAATGAGGTAAGGTTTAAAGCATGTATAATTTTGTGAGAAGAAAGAGTATCATCTAAGCATTGCATTGTCCGTTCTTTGTTTCGTTCCTCTGTCCATCTTACATGATGCTAATTTTGTATTCTATCTCTGGTTCATTCTCTTAAGCGGTTCGAGAAAACCTCACCATCGCTGCGTTCTTGGGGCGTGGCGTCAATGACATGCCAGCCGTCGTACTTTATGGCGTCAGTGTTCAGATCCGGGCGTCTCATGTACACCTCATTCCAGACGTGGAAGTTCCTGTAGGTACGGAACAATGTTAATAAAATTGTCTTGGTCCAGGGCAATCTCATTAAAATCAGACCTTAGTTCTCGCTACCGCTAAACAAAGATCTGAAGACATCCCATTAGGGGTCACGTCAGGACGACCTTTCATCCGACCAATCAGAGCGTCGCTTACCAGATTATGAAAGTGACAGTCGGAATGTGATTCCTTATCATGCAACCTCGAAAACTTTATTCCGAACGATAGTTACGGGTTTAACGACTGAATCCATAAAATCTAGCCCATCTATTAGCCATTCCAGAGTGTTCTTTTGTTCAGGTTTCAAATTTATAATCGAGAATTTGTCAAAATATGTTTCGAAGCGTAGTCGCCAATTTGAAATTAGTGCCGTAAAGCACGAGAAAGCTGCCTTCTGATTGGTCATTCCATTGGTCCGTCAAAGTTCGCGCAAGGTCGGTCTGACGTGACCCGTAATGGGATGTCCTCAGATCTGTGTTTAGCGGTAGGAGAACTAAGATCTGATTTTAATGAGATTGGGTCCAGGAAGGACTTACATGTATTCATATTGATGAACATTATGCTTCATGGAAGTTACAGTTTTTGATTTCAATGGCTCTGTGTGAGGTGAGGTGAGGTGAGGTGAGGTGAGGTGAGGTGAAATGGGGTTTAACGTCGCGTCCAAGATTATTGCACTTATGTATGCACGTGTGTGTGTGGCTGCTTGTACTACTAGTCCGGACTGATGCCGATTTATAGTCCTAGCTCACTGAGATACCATGCCGCAGTTTAACATGAATATCCCACTCAGACACAGTATACTGACTCCGAGCCGATTTAAAGGCCCGGGTTGTTAGTTTCGGTGACTTGGTGGATCGTACACCGACGGCGTGAATCGTTGCTCGTAATATCAGTCACTGGATTGTCTGGTCCACACATCTTATTTACAGACCGTCGTCCTATTGTTGGAATATTGCCGAGTGCAAACGAAATATATTAGATATAACTATATTCGTAGGTAATCTCTCCCGTGTAGGTGCAGACAGAGTAGTATAGTAGAATGATACAATTGTTAAATTAGAGTATTTATTTCATATGGCGCAGAAAGGTGGCATAAACTCTTCAGTACGATAAAGGCAATGAGTAACAACCCCTATTTCGCCAGGTGGGTCAGTTATCCTATTAAATACGGTATGTCGACGGTTATTTCCTACAGCATATGTCTGTTTGTTTGTTTGTTTAACGTCGCACTCAGCAATATCCCAGCTATATGACGGCGGTCTGTAAATAATGGAGTCTGGACCAGACAATCCAGTGATTGACATCATGTGCATCGATCCACGCAACTGGGATACGATGACATGCATCAACCAAGTCAGCGAGCCTGACCACCCGATCCCGTCAGTCGCCTTTTACGGCAGGCATGGGTTACTGAAGACCTATTCTTCCCCAGATTTTCACGGATCACCAAAGGATCACTTCCGACAACGTACCATACAGAATCGTCCTTTGTTTCCTCAATGTCTCCGTCCACGTTCTTTTTGATGACGTCGATGCTGAGTCTCTCCTGGTCGGTGTTGTGGGCGGAGGCGTAGTTGGTGACGCTGCGACAAGGCAGTCCAATAGCTCTGCACACTAGGCGGAAAAATAGAGCGGCACATGTTAGACTTACAGCATCCTGGTCTGTTTGAGACTTCACTGTTTAAGGACTCTATAAAAGCAAGGCAATCGAGTTATGGGCATAGCATGGACTTTATGACACACAGACCGTCTGAACACACAGTGCCATTAATTAAGAAAGTGGTCAAATGTAACAAATGTTATATTTGGGATAACACTTTCTTAGTAAAGAACTGATTCTTGCTCCTTTTGGGGTTGAGGCTCTTCCGGGATTCGAACTCACACTCCCAGAGTGAGGCACCTAATGGCCAGCATACAAAGTCAGCGATCTAACGGACTCAGCCACTGAGGCTTCCACAAAATAGAAAGTCCGACAACTGGTCTAGATCACGTACTTTGTGCACCCCTCTGACAAGTGTAATTGGCACAGTCATCCGACACAAATTTTAACTGGTTCGTTCAAAGTTACTCCGTTTAGAGAAAAATACGTTCGAGCTACGAAGACTTACGTTGTTTATCTAGAGATAATTTATGAGTAAAAAGAATTCGGGTATAATTCGGGTAAAAATGACCCAAAACAAGAATTATTGCTCAACAACGCACCCAATCTGAATACTCGTATTACTCGACATGTCTTCGGTCCTGACGTACAAAACTTTCAGAAGGGAGTTGCTTCCCCTTGACCAGAACGACCGCCACTTTACTTGAAATGATGTGGTACATCGCACCCTTCTCATTTATATAGTGTCGACGTACCCGTCTTATGCATGCTGCCTACGCACCTTTCTTATATATACTGACAAAAATTACCGAATGAGTGACTGAGTGAGTGAGTGAGTGAGTGAGTGAAAGTGTGACAGAGTGAATCTGTTACTTCACCCAGCAGAGTCTCTTCATGACAGTGTGTAAATAACTGAGTTTGGCAAGCGAAGCCAGTGGTTGAAAGAATGAGCAGCGTTCAACGCCCTCGTGAATAATGACACACCCTCAGCCACGCCACACATGATACTGTAAAACGTGAAATTAATGCGTCTCCAAAAGAATGCGACCGCTGGCTCCTAGCAAAAATGCGACTCAATATCAATGCGACACCCACTCCTCTCAAGCATCAGTGAATTTATATCTAAACAAAATGTCCTCTGTCAGGTTTACAGGAGAATCCTCACCTTAATCCAACCTTACATTAATCCAATCACACACCAAATAGCACCGCTTATTAGCGCTGAGTAAAGTACTTCAGCCAAAACAATACGTGCGCGCTGGCTCGTGTCGGCCTTTGATGCAGTCGCAAAGAGCAAAGACACCGTGTTGGGTTGCGTCTGTCTGGACTTGCAGGTGTGATCAGTGATGACATGAGTGAGTAGAACGCTTGTCTTGACCCCAGCAGTGACAATTCACAATGCCACACATGATACTAGTAACCGCTCCATACTGACTGTATTTTCACGACCGGCATTGTGCTCTTGGGACCAGTTCATCCCCGAAACCTTAAGGGAGCCACCGCTAGTAAAGAGGAAGCAGAACCATGCTTGACCTACCAGCTGTGGTGACCGCTGAGAACACCCAGCACTGGCCGTACCGCACTGGTTTCCCGGTCTTCATGTACTCCAGCAGGATCTTCTCGCTGCCCTGCCAGACGGTGGGCTTGCAGCCGCCGGTGTAGTCGCCGCTCCAGTTGCCCACCAGGACCCCGCCGTCGTCGGGGGCGTTCACCTGCAACACCAGGCACACTCTCGTAGTTAGTGATATGCTTGGTCACCTGTGTGTGCTTATATAGTGACGTGTATGCAAGGGTATCACAGTAGAAAAAGTGTAGGTTTCCGTTTTCCGGAAACCTTCAGGATACCTTCAACAACTTTAAATTTTCTTGGTAACTTTCATATAATCTTTTATGTGTTTCCCCCTTTATTGACTAAAATGCACCCCCAACATTTTGGCATTTTTTGGAAAGATTTCCGGAAGGAATCCGGGCCGGATTTGGGTCGGATTCAAAGTGGGAAGCTATCAACCTACACTTGTTTTGCTGTGTATGTGTGGCTGCTGGTACTAGACCAGACTTATGACTGTTTCACACTGAGATGCCATGCAGCCAGACACAGATATTGTTTCCGAGCCGATCATTCGTTGAACACCATGCAAGTGTGTGTGTGTGTGTGTGTGCGTGTGCGTGCGTGCGTGGGTGCGCGCGCGCGTGTGTGTGCGCGCGTGTGTGTGACACTATTGAAACTCACAATCCCTGCGATCATCCTGGAGACCTTCACTGGGCTTGCCATAGCGGGTGTGGCCTTGAACCCGAAAGCTTTCCGCACGAGGTGGAGAGCAGCATCCAGGATACCGTAATTGAACTGAAACATGGTCGTGAATAAACTAGCTTTACAGATGAACAAGGACTTACAGAGCTGCCCAATTGCACAACAGACTCCTAAACAGTAGACTATTTCACTGCGGGGTCGTAACAGTCTTAACCCGACTAGACCGGGTTGATTGATCTGATGCAGGGACATTTCTCAAATTCATTAGTGCTTAAACATATTGAAGTCTTTAAGGAAGATCTTTTAGGAAGAGATTCCATGCCCATTTATGGAACGATTGTCTTAGGTACCGATCATTTTGATATTCTGGGCGTCGGTGGATGGGGGTGTGCTTTGAAAAGAAACAAATAATTTCTCCTGCTGGATGCCGTGGAAATAATGTTTTGTTGTGATAAAATTGGTCGGCTCCTCCTCACACAGAGAAGAATTGCGAGTTTTGAAGCAGTTTCCGTAAACATAATCCTGTCTCTAACAAAAATCCCAGGCTCCCGCAGAATATTATACTGATGGGGCACTTTTATATAGTAATCAACATTTGATAGGGACAATCACTTTCTCTAAATATACATGACATATTATGAGAATCAGTTTTGTGGCTCATGGAAGATACAAATATCAAAAGTGAGGTAGCATATTTGTCCAATGACTTTTCAATGAGGTGCTCGTAACGACGATAGTATCTCCTGCTACCACGCAGGAAGGAATGCCCCTTCACATATCAAAAAAAATATAGGAGGGTCGTGATCACGAAGCGGTCGAAGCGCCACGATTATCATAACCTCATGTTAAAGAACTGGGTCCACTTGCACAAAGCGATCGTGGGGCTACATTACTCTAACACAGACTAACGATAATCGTATAGCGCTAAGATCGCTTTGTGCAAGTGGTACTCTGTCCCGCTTACCTGGTTGTAGGCCCACGATCTGACGCCGACCTTTCTGAAGCTGCCGTAGTACTGGGTGCCGTTGTCGTTGAGGACCGTCTCAGTCCTCCAGACATCGTCCTCCATGTACACCCAGTCCTCTGTTAGATATACCACATGCGTCCACTAAATTTCATTTTGTAAACAATTCATTGAATGTTTTTTTTAGCAATATTAAAAACTTCATATACATCAAGACAGCCTGCAAGCGGATATACCAATTTGACAGTAAAAGTTTCACTGTCGGTATACGACGGGAGTTTTTTAACCAGATCACTTAATGTTCAGTTTTCAAAAGTAACACCTATTCTTAAAATCGGCAATATATTCCAGCTATATTACGGCGAAATGTAAATAATCGAGTGTGGACCAATAAACCAGTGATAGATATCATGAGCGTCCCAACCCTCCAGGGTACGATGACACACGATCAAGTCCCAAGACATCCTTTTTTATGTATACATACCCAGGGTAAGCATTTCGGTAAACCTTCACTAACCCCTGGACCATTCCCCGTGGTTCTCGCAATCTCAAATTACCTGCCCTTGATATTCATTAGCATGTTACCGACCAATCAAACGTCAACATAAGGGATATGGTAAGGGAGCTAACTCGTATTACCTAGAAACCAAAGCCACCGCCAGTCTTAATGGACATACATTCCTGTCAGTTTTTCAATGTTGAAATTCTCGTAAACTCGATCGCAATCAATAGGACTTGCCGCCATGTTGTTGATATTGTCAACCCAACATTGAGGCTGGTTTGTAACTCGCATTCTGATTGGTACGTTAGACCTAGTAGTGGAGCCAATCAAATTGGAAAATGGAAATCAAGGGCAGATAATTTAAGATTGCGAGAACCATGGGGATGTGTCCAGGGATCAGTGTAGGTTTACCGAAATGCTAGCCCTGGAGATATAAAGGATGTCATGGGACTTGATCGTGTGTCATCGTACCCTGACGGGTTGGGACGCTCATAATATCTATCACTGGTTTATCGGTGATATAGAGGATAGTCCCAAAACTCGTTACCTGATCTTCGTGCGACATAGAAAATGGGCCATGGGGACCTATTGCAACCCGAACCTCAAGGGTTGTTTTTGAAGAAAGAAGCAGAGCATGTTGTTTCCTCACCTTTACACCATGGGTTGAAGATGATGTTGATGTAGTCCTCTGTGTGGTTGTACTGCCAGATTTGATCCTTTCCGTCCTTGACGTCCACGATAGTCCTGATAGCGAACTCCCACTCCCCGATAGGCGTGGTTGCGGGGACGAAGACGGACAGTGTGAGGGTGTTTCCCTCCTGACTGATCACAGTCGCACCCCACTTCTTTGGCTTGTATTTGGTGGCCCCAGTTTCGTCTACCCGGAACTTCTCGTTCAGTCTGTTGTTTGGTTTGTACTCGTCACCTGTCATATGTTAGTTTGGTTGATAGTTATTTTACAGTAATAAGACATGCGCCGCTCTTTTACCAGAGTGAGTGAGTTGGGTTTAACGCCGCTTTTAACAGTATTCCAGTTATATCACGGCGTGTCAGCTTAATGTGGGAGGAAAGCCCGAAGTGATGCAGGTCTCAGACGTTTACCACTTCGGTGAAACCCACGAGCACGGGTATGGTGCTGACAAACCTAGAAACATAATTGGGGCGAACCGGGATTCGAACCCACAATCATAGGTTTCTGGCGTGCCCAAGGGACGCAACTCTGCACAGCGAATCGCGGCGCCTTAGACGAGTGGGCCACCCGTGCCCCCTCTTTTACCAGAACGGGCGGTCGGGTAGCCTATTGGTTAAAGCGTTCGCTCGTCACGCCGAAGACCCGGGTTCGAATCCCGACATGGGTACAATGTGTGAAGCCCATTTCTGGTGTTCCCCGCCGTGATATTGCTGGAATATTGCAAAAAGCGGCGTAAAACCAAACTCACTCACTCACTCACTTTTGCAAGAACATATATCTTCATCATCATAGTATGCTCCTTAATGACGTCATGTCTGTAACTATATACCAATTTCGTCTTGTATACCTGTAAGTGTTTTGTTTGTTTGTTGTTTAACGCCGCACTCAGCGATATTCCAGGGGTCTGTAAATAATCGTGTCTCGACCAGACAATCCAGTGATGATATCATGAGCATCGATCCACGCAATTAGGATCGATGACATGTTTCAACCATGTCAGCGAGCCTGACCACCCGATCCCGTTAATCGCCTCTTACGACAAGCATAGTCGCTTTTTACAGCAAGCATGGGTTGCTGAAGACCTCTTCTACCACGGATCTTCACGGGTCTTGTGGCAAGTGGTCCGTATTAAGAGTTCAATCCATGTATATTTATCTTTGTATATATTTCTATTCAGTATATTATTGTTTTATGTTAACATCCTTCCTCCATGTGATGTATCCGACACCGTGACGTCATTGTTCTGTGTAACTTACCTAAATTGAACAACAGCGTGATGTCATTCTTCTTGATGTCATATGGCCTATCGAAGGTGATGGTCATCTTGAACTCTTGACCTCTACGGAGAACCAGCTCTGCTTGTCTCCCTTCGGATTCCTTCGCGCATGCGTACATGTCCGTGTGGTGTTCCTTGGCATTTTCGGCGAAGTGCAGGTCGACTCCGGTGACGTGAAGCTTCGTCTCCAGTTCCACCTTCTCAACTTCTGTCTTCTTCGGCACTGTTTCCTCTGGAGATGAAACATAGACGACAAAGGAATGAATTAGCGAGTGACACTGGTTAAACGTTGCTTTGAACAGTATTGCATTTAAAGCATGATTTGTAAGCTCTTGACGTCTTAAACGTTTTCCTCGCACGAGCTGAAATACCTAGAAACGTAGTCAGGATGAATCTTGGATTCGAACCCACGATAAAAGGTAAGGCACACAGCGCGCTCAGAGAGGAAGGGCAATGAACAGTTGCAACACAGATACAACATTTGTCAACCAGGAGAGTACAACGACTGGTTATGAAAAAGCATTGATGCCTATGCATTAACATTCATAGACGGGTAGGACAATTAACAGTGTTTTCGACCATAACACGTTATCACTCAATAGAACTATTCCTTTGAACATGCATCCGTAATTATAAGATAATGCTCTTCTGTTTCTTATCACAACAGTATTTTTAAAGATAATTACACCCTGATGGTTAATGTTTGTCTTGTTTGTATTAATAAAGGATGCAGATATCTTTAAAAAAAATAAAAATAAAATTAAAAAAATTATCGAAATTTATTAACATTGTTGTCATCAAGCTCTATCTTAAAATATAAACCCGTGGTCTGCAAAGTGATGTCGTCGTCTTAATAGGACCGTCCCTGGCTGATATATCATCATGCAAGACGCCCCCATACATAATATGCCTAAAAGTATCATCTTCATAGTGAACAAGCATAGGGCCTTGGGAGACCAACTGTGCCTCTTGAAGTCCAAACGGGGAACAAACACGGGCGCCGTGAGCCATTGTGCCCATGCCTCCTCACCAGGAACCAATATTAGGACCAGGAGAATTATTCTACCCTTGAATTTCAACAAGTAAATATGGCGGTTATTCGGTTTCTAAGTTTGTGGTTCTCACCGAAAATACATCAACACTATTGCAAAGCTGATCCGTTAAACATATCTGGACCAGACTATACAGTGATTGTTATCATGAGCATCGATCTACGAAATTAAGATACGATGACATGCATCAATCAAGTCAGCGAGCTTGACCACTCGATCCCGTCAGTCGCCTCTTACGACAAGCATGGTTTGTTGAAGGAACACGATAACCCGAATCTTCACAGGTCTCCTAGAAGTCTTCTTTTAAAGCTAGAGGGGGCACGGGTGGCCCAGTCATCTAAGGCGCCGCGATTCGCTGTGCAGAGTTGCATCCCTTGGGCCAGAAACCTATGATTGTGGGTTCGAATCCCGGTTCGCCTCGATTATGTTTCTAGGTTTGTCAGCACCATAACCGTGCCCATGGGTTTCACCGAAGTAGTAAACGTCTGAGACCTGCATCACTTCGGGCTTTCCTCCCACATTAAGCTGACACGCTGTGATATAACTGGATTACTGTTAAAAGCAGCGTTAAACACAACTCACTCATTAAAGCTAGATATTTTGAAAGAAACATGGTTAGTAATACTGCGCACAATGCTAATGATCTCCACTATACCATGACTATATTTGCCAAGTGCTGTAATCAGTTTGGTTATACTCGTACATTCAAGTAAAACTAAAATACTAAAATACTAACGGTTATAAGAAAGATTATAAGCACGATTTCAAGTTGTGTTATGCTGTTCCACAAGACGTAAATATAGATAACACCTATCTTGGCAAACTATTCGAAAAGATAATATATTTTTTTCAGTGAATGAGTAAAACTATGCTTTTAAGCGGCGTTTAGCAACATTTCAGCAATATCACAGCGGGGGACACCAGCATTGTGTTTCACACATTGTAACCATGTGAGGAATCGAAACCGAGCCTTCGTCGTGACGATCGAAGCTTTAACAACAAGGCTACGTCACCGCCCCTAAATTATTTTCAATGCCAAACTTGAACTGGTAAAATACCCAGTAGGATGAGATTGTAATGTGACTGTTAACCTTCTAGGTATAAAGTAGCTGATAAAGTAGCTCGGGTTGTATACTCACCAGGGAGATGAGAATGAAATTCGAGTGCAGACTGAGATCCACTGAACGGGGTTACAATGTAGCGCATCGGGCATACTTTAGGATGTAGATTTATGGCATTATAAATATGGCATTATTATTGATCAGTTCAGTAGCACTTTTCTGCACAAGTGTGCAACCATGCAACGCAGTGGTTACCTTGATGGCGTATAATTATCTCTTTCTCCTTGCTGGGGTCGGCCGGGGGTAGGAACTTCTCGTCACGCTCTGATGCACGAGGCCTGACTCTGACGCTGTTGTAGGCCCGGAGTGACCTTGAGTAGTTCATCCTGCGCATCCTGCGAGACCTGAACAAACATTGACGAAGTAAATATGAATTATGCATATATAATTTAGCAATATTCCATCAACATAAAGGCTAGGTCGACAAGAAATAGGCTTAACGTATTGCTCCATGTGGGGAATCGAAACTGGGCTTTCGTCGCAGCAAGCTGATGCTCTATCCACTAGGCCACCCTACAGACGCACGAACAAACAAACAAACAAACATAACAGTCAATGACATCAGGTTGTCGTCATATTTTTATGTGCCCTGCTGTGATATTGCTGAAATATTGCTTAAAGTGGCTTAACACCCACTCTCTCATATTCAGACCGTCCCCGGGGTCTAGTGGTAGAGCGTCAGTATACAGCGTCTGAGTTGGGTATTCCTGTTGGGTATTCCTGGTATCTCAGTGGGGTAGCACTATAAAATCAACATTAGTCACTTCTAGTACAAGCAGACACACAACCAGCGCTGCTACAGTCCGGCAGGGCGTCCAACATAATGTGTATGTTACTAACAGGAGAGGTCACATGGCCCGTAATAGCCCACTATAGAGCTTCGGTCAGGATCTGTGACGTGATGCCGACCACGTGATCGGATGGCATAAAGCTCATTATTTCAGCCACTCATGGGTGGACTAATCCATTTTAAGATAATCTGCTTGTTTATACCATTCTGTATCGTTGGTGCTGCCTGGAGGAGACCCACTCGCTGTCAACATTGTCTCTGTGATACGCCGTGGTGGGTGGGTGGATTATTTACCGTACTCATATGGCTAAAATACTGCTGACTGCGGCGTTAAACAATATGTACTCACTTGTTCAGTGGTCGTACACACTAAGCCAATACATTCAGGTCGTCTTAAAGAGTGCTTGTGTCCCGTGTCCTCGTGTAATAATAATGTGTAAGCAGTATTTAATTAAGCGCGTGTCACCTACCATGAGTCCCTGGGTCTCAAACTGCAGTAGAACTTGAATATAGGGCACCAAATATACACTCACACACTAACAGCTGGCGGCAGTGCAATATATATAGTCACATTCTCAGCTGAATACTGGTACATGTATGTATGCCGACTTTCAATGTAAGTCTGTGTGTATCTGTGTGTGAGTGTCTGTGTCTGTGTGTGTATCTGTTTGTGAGTGTCTGTGTCTGTGTGTTTGTCTCTGCGAGGATGGGTGTATACGTGTGTATGTGAGTGTCTGTGTGTGTCTGCGAATGTATGTGTGTATGTGTTTGTGTGTGTATCTGTTTGTGAGTGTCTGTGTCTGTGTGTGTATCTGTGTGTGAGTGTCTGTGTCTGTGTCTGTGCAAGGATGGGTGTATACATTGTATGTGTGTATGTGAGTGTCTGTGTGTGTCTGCGAATGTGTGTGTGTATGTGTTTGTATCTGTGTATGTATCTGTGTGTCTGTTCGTGTATGCGAGTATATGTGTGTATGTATCTGTGTGTCTGCATGTATGTGTTTATATGTGTTTCTATTTGATTTGTGTGTGTGTATGTGTCTTTGTGTCTATGTGTGTATCTGTGTCTGTGTCTGTGTCTGTATCTCTCTCTGTGTGTATTTCTGTGTGTGTCTGTGTTTGTATATGTGTGTATATCTGTGTGTGTATCTTTGTGTGTATGTGTTTGTATCTGTATAATGTATCTCTGTGTGTGTGTACGTATCTGTGTGTGTATGTATCTCTCTGTGTGTGTATGTGTTTATATCTGTGTGTATGTGTTTGTATCTGTGTATGTATCAGTATGTGTGTCTGTGTCTTTGTGTCTATGTGTGCATCTCTATGTGTGTATCTGTGTGTGTGTGTGTGTTTATGTCTGTGTGTGTATGTGTTTGTATCTGTGTGTGTGTGGATGTGTGTGTGTGTGTACGTATCTGTGTGTGTATGTATCTGTGTGCGTGTGTATGTGTTTATATCTGTGTGTGTATGTGTTTGTATCTGTGTGTTTGGATGTGTGTGTGTACGTATCTGTGTGTGTATGTATCTGTGTGCGTGTGTATGTGTTTATATCTGTGTGTGTATGTGTTTGTATCTGTGTGTGTATGTGTGTATGTACGTATCTATGTGTATGTATCTCTCTGTGTGTGTATGTGTGTGTATCTGTGTGTGTGTATACGTATCTGTGTGTGTATGTATCTGTGTGCGTGTGTATGTGTTTATATCTGTGTGTGTATGTGTTTGTATCTGTGTGTGTGGATGTGTGTGTGTGTACGTATCTGTGTGTGTATGTATCTGTGTGCGTGTGTATGTGTTTATATCTGTGTGTGTATGTGTTTGTATCTGTGTGTGTGGATGTGTGTGTGTACGTATATGTGTGTGTATGTATCTGTGTGCGTGTGTATGTGTTTATATCTGTGTGTGTATGTGTTTGTATCTGTGTGTGTATGTGTGTATGTACGTATCAATGTGTATGTATCTCTCTGTGTGTGTATGTGTGTGTATCTGTGTGTGTGTGTATACGTATCTGTGTGTGTGTGTATATGCGCTCGTGTGTGTGTGCGTGTGTGTGTGAGGCTGAAGTATCCTACCTTCTTGAAAGGACTGAGTTGTTGTTGCTTCCTCGGAATCTGGCAGAGTACATGATGTAGGATGTTGATATCGAAGTCGCCCCCGATGAATAGCTGCAGCTGCCGGTGAATAAAGGCTGATTCCCAGTACGGCTAGAGACAAAAGGTAATTTGTGAACTCGCAGCATATGTTAGACACTAAAATTTGGGGGATTTAGGCATCGAGTAAAGAGGTGTTGAGTCGGAAATATCATTGGAAAATATAGGCTAGGAGTAAGGCAACGGTAGAGTAAGCTGCAACAACATTGGGACGACAGAGGTAAATATTGGATCGACAGCAACATTCGGAACATAGATATGAAATAAGGACGAAAGAGGGAAAGTAATGGATCGACAGCAACATTGGGAACATAGGCATAGAATAAGGACGAAAGAGGGAAAGTAATGGATCGACAGCAACATTGGGAACATAGGCATAGAATAAGGACGCAAGAGGGAAAGTAATGGATCGACAGCAACATTGGGAACATAGGCATAGAATAAGTTCGCAAGAGGCAAAACGTGGATCGACAGCAACATTGGGAACATAGGCATGAAATAAGGACGAAAGAGGGAAAGTAATGGATCGACAGCAACATTGGGAATATAGGCATAGAATAAGGACGAAAGAGGGAAAGTAATGGATCGACAGCAACATTGGGAACATAGGCATAGAATAAGGACGAAAGAGGGAAAATAATGGATCGACAGCAACATTGGTAACATAGGCATAGAATAAGGACGAAAGAGGGAAAGTAATGGATCGACAGCAACATTGGGAACATAGGCATAGAATAAGGACGAAAGAGGAAAAGTAATGGATCGACAGCAACATTGGGAACATAGGTATGAAATAAGGACGAAAGAGGGGAAGTAATGGATCTACAGCAACATTGGGAACACAGGCATAGAATAAGGACGAAAGAGGGAAAGTAATGGATCGACAGCAACATTGGGAACATAGGCATAGAATAAGGACGCAAGAGGGAAAGTAATGGATCGACAGCAACATTGGGAACATAGGCATAGAATAAGGACGAAAGAGGGAAAGTAATGGATCGACAGCAACATCGGGAACATAGGCATAGAATAAGGACGAAAGAGGGAAAGTAATGGATCGACAGCAACATTGGGAACATAGGCATAGAATAAGGACGAAAGAGGGAAAGTAATGGATCGACAGCAACATTGAGAACATAGGCATAGAATAAGGACGCAAGAGGGAAAGTAATGGATCGACAGCAACATTGGAACATAGGCATAGAATAAGGACGCAAGAGGCAAAACGTGGATCGACAGCAACATTGGGAACATAGGCATGAAGTAAGGACGAAAGAGGGAAAGTAATGGATCGACAGCAATATTGGGAACATAGGTATAAAATAAAGACGAAAGAGGGAAAGTACTGGATCGACAGCAACATTGGGAACATAGGCATAGAATAAGGACGAAAGAGGGAAAGTAATGGATCGACAGCAACATTGGGAACATAGGTATGAAATAAGGACGAAAGAGGGAAAGTACTGGATCGACAGCAACATTGGGAACATAGGCATAGAATAAGGACGAAAGAGGGAAAGTAATGGATCGACAGCAACATTGGGAACATAGGTATGAAATAAGGACGAAAGAGGGAAAGTACTGGATCGACAGCAACATTGGGAACATAGGCATAGAATAAAGACGAAAGAGGGAAAGTAATGGATCGACAGCAACATTGGGAACATAGGCATAGAATAAGGACGAAAGAGGGAAAGTAATGGATCGACAGCAACATTTGGAACATAGGCATAGAATAAGGACGAAAGAGGGAAAGTAATGGATCGACAGCAACATTGGGAACATAGGCATAGAATAAGGACGAAAGAGGGAAAGTAATGGATTGACAGCAACATTGGGAACATAGGCATAGAATAAGGACGAAAGAGGGAAAGTAATGGATCGACAGCAACATTGGGAACATAGTCATAGAATAAGGACGAAAGAGGGAAAGTAATGGATCGACAGCAACATTGAGAACATAGGCATAGAATAAGGACGAAAGAGGGAAAGTAATGGATCGACAGCAACATTGGGAACATAGGCATAGAATAAGGACGAAAGAGGGAAAGTAATGGATCGACAGCATTATTGGGAACATAGGCATAGAATAAGGACGAAAGAGGGAAAGTAATGGATCGACAGCAACATTGGGAACATAGGCATAGAATAAGGACGAAAGAGGGAAAGTAATGGATCGACAGCAACATTGGGAACATAGGCATAGAATAAGGACGAAAGAGGGAAAGTAATGGATTGACAGCAACATTGGGAACATAGGCATGAAATAAGGACGAAAGAGGGAAAGTAATGGATCGACAGCAACATTGGGAACATAGGCATAGAATAAGGACAAAAGAGGGAAAGTAATGGATCGACAGCAACATTGGGAACATAGGCATGAAATAAGGACGAAAGAGGGAAAGTAATGGATCGACAGCATTATTGGGAACATAGGCATGGGATAAGGACGAAAGATTAATGTATTAATTGTAAATAATGACACATGTAAATCTTTTGGAGAGGGCGTTCTAAGTTGTGATAACTTGTGCCCAATCCTTTTCATGAGCATAAAATATGTTTAAACTGGACATGGGCATAGAATAAGGACGAAAGAGGGAAATTAATCGATCGACAGCAACATTGGGAACATAGGCATAGAATAAGGACGCAAGAGGGAAAGTAATGGATCGACAGCAACATTGGGAACATAGGCATAGAATAAGGACGAAAGAGGGAAAGTATTGGATCGACAGCAACATCGGGAACATAGGCATAGAATAAGGACGAAAGAGGGAAAGTAATGGATCGACAGCAACATTGGGAACATAGGCATAGAATAAGGACGAAAGAGGGAAAGTAATGGATCGACAGCAACATTGAGAACATAGGCATAGAATAAGGACGCAAGAGGGAAAGTAATGGATCGACAGCAACATTGGAACATAGGCATAGAATAAGTTCGCAAGAGGCAAAACGTGGATCGACAGCAACATTGGGAACATAGGCATGAAGTAAGGACGAAAGAGGGAAAGTAATGGATCGACAGCAATATTGGGAACATAGGTATAAAATAAAGACGAAAGAGGGAAAGTACTGGATCGACATCAACATTGGGAACATAGGCATAGAATAAGGACGAAAGAGGGAAAGTATTGGATCGACAGCAACATTGGGAACATAGGTATGAAATAAGGACGAAAGAGGGAAAGTACTGGATCGACAGCAACATTGGGAACATAGGCATAGAATAAGGACGAAAGAGGGAAAGTAATGGATCGACAGCAACATTGGGAACATAGGTATGAAATAAGGACGAAAGAGGGAAAGTACTGGATCGACAGCAACATTGGGAACATAGGCATAGAATAAGGACGAAAGAGGGAAAGTAATGGATCGACAGCAACATTGGGAACATAGGCATAGAATAAGGACGAAAGAGGGAAAGTAATGGATCGACAGCAACATTTGGAACATAGGCATAGAATAAGGACGAAAGAGGGAAAGTAATGGATCGACAGCAACATTGGGAACATAGGCATAGAATAAGGACGAAAGAGGGAAAGTAATGGATCGACAGCAACATTGGGAACATAGGCATAGAATAAGGACGCAAGAGGGAAAGTAATGGATCGACAGCAACATTGGGAACATAGTCATAGAATAAGGACGAAAGAGGGAAAGTAATGGATCGACAGCAACATTGAGAACATAGGCATAGAATAAGGACGAAAGAGGGAAAGTAATGGATCGACAGCAACATTGGGAACATAGGCATAGAATAAGGACGAAAGAGGGAAAGTAATGGATCGACAGCATTATTGGGAACATAGGCATAGAATAAGGACGAAAGAGGGAAAGTAATGGATCGACAGCAACATTGGGAACATAGGCATAGAATAAGGACGAAAGAGGGAAAGTAATGGATCGACAGCAACATTGGGAACATAGGCATAGAATAAGGACGAAAGAGGGAAAGTAATGGATTGACAGCAACATTGGGAACATAGGCATGAAATAAGGACGAAAGAGGGAAAGTAATGGATCGACAGCAACATTGGGAACATAGGCATAGAATAAGGACAAAAGAGGGAAAGTAATGGATCGACAGCAACATTGGGAACATAGGTATGAAATAAGGACGAAAGAGGGAAAGTACTGGATCGACAGCAACATTGGGAACATAGGCATAGAATAAGGACGAAAGAGGGAAAGTAATGGATCGACAGCAACATTGGGAACATAGGTATGAAATAAGGACGAAAGAGGGAAAGTACTGGATCGACAGCAACATTGGGAACATAGGCATAGAATAAGGACGAAAGAGGGAAAGTAATGGATCGACAGCAACATTGGGAACATAGGCATAGAATAAGGACGAAAGAGGGAAAGTAATGGATCGACAGCAACATTTGGAACATAGGCATAGAATAAGGACGAAAGAGGGAAAGTAATGGATCGACAGCAACATTGGGAACATAGGCATAGAATAAGGACGAAAGAGGGAAAGTAATGGATCGACAGCAACATTGGGAACATAGGCATAGAATAAGGACGCAAGAGGGAAAGTAATGGATCGACAGCAACATTGGGAACATAGTCATAGAATAAGGACGAAAGAGGGAAAGTAATGGATCGACAGCAACATTGAGAACATAGGCATAGAATAAGGACGAACGAGGGAAAGTAATGGATCGACAGCAACATTGGGAACATAGGCATAGAATAAGGACGAAAGAGGGAAAGTAATGGATCGACAGCAACATTGGGAACATAGGCATAGAATAAAGACGAAAGAGGGAAAGTAATGGATCGACAGCAACATTGGGAACATAGGCATAGAATAAGGACAAAAGAGGGAAAGTAATGGATCGACAGCAACATTGGGAACATAGGCATGAAATAAGGACGAAAGAGGGAAAGTAATGGATCGACAGCATTATTGGGAACATAGGCATGGGATAAGGACGAAAGATTAATGTATTAATTGTAAATAATGACACATGTAAATCTTTTGGAGAGGGCGTTCTAAGTTGTGATAACTTGTGCCCAATCCTTTTCATGAGCATAAAATA